TTTATTGTTTCAGCAATTTAAAACTGGCAATACCAAGACTTATTTACAAGAGGAGAAAATAAGCTGCTGCTCAGATTAAGCAATTCTAAAAACATTTTATTTGAAAAATCTTTAGCAGCTCAGATTGAAAAAGAGTAACTGACTTTGAACCACAGATGCAACTTCTGCCATTCTCCTAAGAAGTTCCATGAATTTGTCTTCTGAAACTTGGGGGAAGGTGGGGAGAGAACGGAGACCTTTTGATCTGTACAGACTGTCGAGTTGCATATTCAGAAAAAAAAGTGAAAATTCTATCTCCCTCTCAACATATTATAGCTTCTCTCAGCTTTTATCAGTGACCCAGCTGCTACTGAGAGATCAGTAGCAAATATAAACATTCCAACTCAGAATATTCTGTGGTTCTGCGATTGTGAAACCCAGCAAATACAGCCATTAGAAATGAAGAACTATTTTGTAAGCTTTCTTCCAAGAAACACACTTTAAAAACAGAAAGTCAGTGAATTATATGATGCTGCAGTGAATTATTATTATGTGGCTATCAACAGTTTTAAGACTGCTCACAAAATGAACTCCAACATTTTATGCACCTACCTTGGGTATTATAGGTAGGAAACTACCAAAATCATCCAGGAAGCCAATTCTCCTTAGAACTGACCTGTAGATGCTCATAGCACTACTTAACAATAGTATTTATTTTAATGAAAAGATGAAGGTCAAGCGAAGTTTGGGGAAAGATAATTATGTCTTCAGAGCAACTGTTATAGTATTTCGCAAATAAACACCAGACTTGAGAGTATGTATTATTTTACTACTACACTATTCCTCACTGAGTGAGCATGGTCTGCTAACAGAGTCCTGTAGAAAAAGGGGGAAGAGTAGACAACTAGTGTTTCCCACTGCACATGTACCAGATGATGCTGCACAGTCAATCTTCATTCTGAAACTTCCCAACTTCTGAGTACTCTTTTGGTCAACTCTATGTGCATGTAATATATACACAGTTATTTTGCAAACAGATGAACAACAGTATAGCTCCAACTTCCTCTTCTTTCATGAAAATATCACCATCAGTAGATGATCAAGTGCACCCTAAATTATCATTAGAGAGGCATGGTTGGTGGTGTGTAAATATTCCCCCATATGCCAGCAGGACTTAAAGTGTTGCTTCACATAGTAATTACCTCATTCTATTGCAAGCTGCCACTGGAAAAGTCAGTCTCATACCTTCTTTTCCTTCCCTTTCCCCACTGCTATTTTCTAACGTCTCTCTTACATCAGATCAAGCCACTGTGCTACCATGCTGAGTTAGCTCATGTGAGGGAGTGGGGAAGATGGAGTAGAGAGGAAAAAGTTCCCCCAGTCATATCATCAAGCTTATCCAAGATCACCCTGCAGCCACACACAAGCACTGCATCTGAAGCATGGAATAGGCAGGAACACATCAGTCAGGTTGGAGGATAACAGCAGAACTGCCCGTTCTGGCAGCAGTGTTTGACTGTATAAGAACACATGTACCTCCCAAACCAGTCTCTGAGAAAAGCAGACAAAACTAGATCTAAGCTTCGTTGCCTTGGACTGATAAACACCACACCTCAGATGAGCTAACAGGTATCATAAACTTGCTAAAGCACTGCTGATCTGCCTGGCACACTAGAAGACTCCAGGCAGAATTCCAGGAGTCCATTTAACTTCAAAGTAGTGGCTTGGGCCTCTTGGACAAGACCCTGCTCCTGTCAAGCTGAAAACTTCTCTGTATAAATAGGCTCCCAACAGTCACCAAAAATTTCCCCAGCTTTGAATTCTGCTTCCCTTGGCTTTGGTCCAAAGCCCAGTGTTCACTTTCTAGACAAATAACTTTTGAGAAAGTATGGGAACCACAGCTACAGAAAAAGAAGGTGAATAAATTCTTAGTTTTAGAGACAAGCAACAAGGGCAAATACATATTAATGTGTCCTCCCCATATATGAGGAGATATCTACCTTTTCCTATGACTTAATTTGATATGATCATAGAATCATTTAGGTTGGAAGAGGCTTTTAAGATCAAGATCATCAAGTCCAAATGATAATCCTAATGACCTTGTTTCTTTTCCTTACATATGAAGAAGCAGGAAATAAACTTTTCCTTGTCCCAGCCACAGCCTTCATCTGACAACTTAGGGAAGTTACAGAATACATAACCCCATGTGTCTGACCATATTCAGTAAACATTCTGACAAAATAAGAATCAATTCTCGCTTGCAAGTGAAGACACTTTTTTCTTATGAAACCACTTCTTGTTTCCATTCTAAAAATAAATAAATATCTAAAATGCAAGGTCGCTGACAGAATGCTCAAGTACTCTAAGCAGCCTCATTCCAGTCGCACGGAAGCTTCCCATCACAGCAATCTGGGTGATCAGCCCACTGTTCCACAAAGAGCAAGAGAACACAAACAACTCCAAAGGCACTGCCTAAATCTTCCAAAACTTGCAAGACATAGGCACTGCAAGTGAGAAATGGAGAAGTTTGCTTTGCTTTTTTTTGTTATAGGCACCAGAACACCCCATATCCTAAGCCAGAATAAAAATTCTGTCTAGCCTGCTAGCCTGTCTGAATGTAAGCACATGTCAAACTGTGACAGTTGCCTGTTTCACCTTCTCAGAGATCTGAAGCACATGGGTTTCCTGTCCCGGCCATTAAATATTTGCATGCAGTCACAGTCATTTTTTCCTGGTCTTATTTAGCTGCCTTTTAAAAACCAACTCCTAGCATCTACAAGAACTTCTATAACTATACAGTGGACCTCATCATCATGTGCAAAGAAAAAATTTTTGCTTTGCATCTACTATCACAAGTGATCTCTTGGTTTGTAATAACAGTAAGATACCCATACTTTACTTTCTTTGAGCTAATCACCATTTTCAAAGCCTTTCACCATATTTTTCCCTCCAGGTACCTCTTCTCAGCACAGAAGTATCTAATTCATTTGGTATGTCCTTCTAGAAAAGAAGTCTTTATTTCTGATCACCCTGGTCAGCTTCCTCTAACTTCCACAGTTCTAAGTCCTTGGTACTATTGTAATCTTTGACAACCACTTTACTTATTCAACTATTTCCAAACATTAAGCTGAAGTGCTCATAAACCTGAATATAAAGAATTTGCCCCCCTCACCAAGCCAAATGTATTTCTTCACATTTACTCGTGCTTATTTTCTCAGTACCAAAAAGCCTTTCAAGTCTTTCCCAGTTTTCCCAGTTATATTCCACTAGGAATATAACCTCTCTCATCAGTATTTCTACCCTTTTTCTGGAAAAGCATAGCACAGACCCATGTAGTAGGTCCAAAATGACCACTTACACTCTCTTTTTTAAATTTAAAATAATTACCCATCTGTGGCAGAACTCTCCATTTACTCCATTGCAGGTGTATTTTTTGAAGAGCCTCTGGTGTGGCAGCCTGTCCAAAAACCCTTCAGTACATAGCACATCCAGACCAACTTTACACCAACCAGCACTAATTGCGTCCTCACCAACTTTATAGAACTCTACTAGCCACACACTGCATGACTTGCCTTTATAAAAGATATGTCAGCTTTATCAAATGTATCTATGTATTTACTGATTATTCTGTTTCTTAAAAAAGAATTAATGTTATTTTATCATATTGACTTTAACCACAAACAGCAGTAGAAGACGTAGTTTGTCCGCTCATCAGTATGCATTTGTTCCAAGACTAAAATATCTCTTCCCCTCAAATCTTTAATATATCTGCTATGCCAATATCCTAAAATACATATAAGAGAAACTAGATAGCCTGATTTAATTAATATACAGATATACATATGCACACCTTTTCTTAAATAAAAATTCAAGCATTTTCTATCAATGCACACAGAAGTTTCCTCCTTTTTTCCTAAATCCTGTTTTAAATGGTTTTCATTTATTGGAGGCTTTTTGTTTCTTTTATTTTAATTCTGCACTAGCTTGTATCATTTCTTATTGGAGCTACTGATCCTTGGATAATGTACAACTGCAAGAACATCAATTTTAAAGGCTGCAGAACTCCAGAAATCTCCCATCAGTTTTGGCTTTTCCCCTGTCATCACTTAAAAATTACAGCAGGGCCAACACAAGCCACCTTTTCCAAAGGGGCTGGACATCACGTCCACTTCCTAACAAAACTAATTCCATTTTCCTTTTTGTTTTATTTTCTAAGCCTAAACATTGGTTTTTTCTCCTCTGTTTTTCCACTCTGCTCCCAAGTATGGTGCAAAGGACATTTCAGGGTGCGTTTTCAAAATATGAAGCTCAGCAAGTAGAGTGTTACCTCGGAGTACTTGTTGGTAAAAGGAATACCTCATGTTACAGCCCACTACTGAAAACAAAGGACTCAAAGAAACTAAAGATTGTTTGACACCTACAATAGAACATTTGTCAGAGAAGCAGTTTCTTAATTAGAAATAACAAAGCCTGCTTCCTACAGGCCTCCTCTACATTACTGCTGTTGTAAGTCCATTAAGAAACTTCCATATAACCCTCATTTTGGTTCCTTCTCACATTCCTTAATGAAAATCACTTCCCCTTCTCATTCCTTAAGTAATGCCAGTTACTTCTCATGCTCCCTTATTGCTGAGTGAGAGTAAGACAATTTTATGCCTGTTTCAAAACCACACATGCACTAAGTGGCCTGCTGAAAGACTGCGAGGTAGAAGGAGTAAGGGGAAGAAGCCACAGTTCTGCCTTAAACAAAGCAGTAATTTTCAAAAAACTCACAAGATCGTCATACTTCAAAATGCATTTGCTTCTGTCGATGATCACTCCACAGAGGAATGCACAAAGATAGTCAGCAACTGCCTGAGCTTGTTTCCTGGGGAAGCAAGGCACAGCTTGGCCCCTTGGCATCAGTCAAGATCTTGTCTCATAACTCCAACTTCTATTGTGGCCTCTAGTCTTAATTCACAGTTTAATTTTAGTAAGTAAGTAATTTAAAAAATTAAGTAATTAAAAAAACCCAAACTCACCGTTTTATTACGCAGTCTAATTATGTCCGAAACAGAGCCAGCTCCACAATATTCCATAACAATCCATAGATCTGTGTTCTTAAAGTAGCTGCCATAGTACTTGACAACATAGGGACTAGATGAAAAAAAGTTACATAAATAGATTAATTTAGTGGTAGTAAAAAATTCATTAGCACAACTGTTGTTACAAATTACAGTTTGCCACACATTAACAAGCTAAAGAGCAAGTGCAATCACATACATTTTAAAATTGTAATTAGCTTAACCAATGCCTTGCTAGAGCACAATCTGACTACTTAATAAAATTACAAAGGCACTACTACATATTATATATATATATACATATATATATATATATAACAAGTTTCCAGCAATCTTCAAATACAGTTTTTCCAAACATTAGTCTTCTGATAAAAAGCTTTGGTTTTCCCTCCTCTAAGGCCTCTCAATTTTTAAGTCTATTCAATAGCTAACAAAGCTACTGAATGTTTCCCTTCTTAAAAAGACTGCCTACCACTTACAAGTACGACATACTGATTCTTCTTCTTATAAATTCATTAAGTGAGGAAGGCTACTATTACTTCTGAATTCTTGTGACAGTCTCTTGCCAGATTTACACTGCGTTAGTATTCCTAGCAAAAAATGGGTATTATCGATCAGGACAAGGTGATCTTTCCAAAACATCAAGTTTGCAACCTCAAAACACTGTTCACATTTGCTTAAAACCTTGTCCCAGTTAACTACACAGACCAGACCTTCCCAGACCAACTGCCCGTCTTAGAATACATGTTTCTCCCCTTACACATACAGCACAGCTAGTGCTAGAAATGGGCATGGAGCAGAAAGAAAGAGTAAAGTGTTAAGATTTAATCATCTTTTATTTGAGATGCTGCAACAACTCAGTACCTTCCTGTAATATCTGTGGAATCATCCCAGGTGAAAATCAAGTACTAAAAAGTGCGTCATCCCTCTCATCAGTACCGCACAGCACTGTATTTGCAGGAAGGCACATGAAATATATACAAAAACATGGGGCAGAGCTGCAGCCCAAACTTTCTTTTCAACCAGAGAATTGCTCCATCTTGTCTGGTGAAGGAAGAGTTTGTGTTCTAAAATTCTGAACACGTACACAATAGTACATGTCCAAGAGATACCAAATGAAGTATGTTGTTCAAAGCAAACCAGGAAACAAAGAACAAGGGCAGAGAAAAGAGGGACAGGACAGAGGACACAAAAATAAGGCTGAGTAGGCCTATCAAAGACAAGAATGAAAGTGTCACAAAAAGCATAGCACAGAAAAAAAAAATAAAACTTATAGAAAATTCTCTAGCGTCACCACTTCTTTTCTCTGTCAGTATATTTTACAGACATTTGTTTTAAGCATTTATTTCAATCCTGGTCTAGTACTTGCAGATATACACAAACTACAACCTTCACAACTGCTTCCAGGCAGTTCACATGGCTCAAGCCTGTGCAGTGACTAAGGGCAGCTATGGGGTCAGTGATAGAAGTCTTTATGAGAATTTATAAGGCCATTTTCCAATACCCTATGTCTTCCTTCATCTAAGTGAAAATAGTTATTTTTTATCCCCCATGCTTCATTTAAGAGCACAGCAACAAGAAGAACCAAAACAAACATATTTTAACTTTTCTTCAGTGTACAGGAAGAGTTGAGGACCTACTCTGGGTATCAAATCTAGTTCCACAGTTAAGCAGACAAACAATATTGCTGCTTCCTTTTTCATCTGTACCCATTACAAAACTCAACTGGCCGGCCAGACAAAAAAATAGTCTCATTGGGATGCAAAGGATTAAGAGGAGCCCCCCAAAAAGCTCAAGGGTCCCAAATTCTTTTACGATCACCTGAAATAACCTGACTAGACATCTTTGTAGAATGTGTGAGGGGAAAAAAAAAAGCCACAAATTCTTCCTTTTCCTCTCATTCTCCTGCCTACATATTTAACAAGTTTCCAGCATTCAGAGCAGTCAGTGACAGACGGGAATGAATTACAAAGTCCACTGCTTTCATCCGTCACAAATGCTCAGGTCAGGCTTGCAGGCAGAAGTTCTAAAAATGTTTGAAGAACAACTGCATTCTCATGTGCTAGATACAATGTACTCTGAGGTCTCTATCCCTATATTTAAGGATAAATATTTGAAACTTCTCTCCTCCTTCATGACCCCGTAGAGCAGTAAAATCAAGATGCTGTGGAGCAGTACAATCAAGCTTCATGTAACACCTCAGCATAACTCTCAGAAGCAAATCTGAATTAATTCAGACTGTATTAAAAGGATTATCTTTAAATTTGAGACGAGTGCTGATCACTGTGAAACAAGAATAGATTTTTCAGTTAAAGACAGGACTTCACACAGACACATCACAAAAGCACAAACACAACTGAGAAGTAACAGACCACTTGCTATAATACAACTCACTACGTTAATGACTAAAGTAATCAATGTTTTAATGAAAGTTTTGCCTAACTAGAGTGCAAAACTTTCCTGGTTGCACTTCAAGTCACAAAAACAGACTCTCATACCACTGATCAGACATCAGTTAAAACTGGCACTAGCAAATCTGATTTTGAAGTTACAGCCCAAAACTCCATAGATGACAGGGAATGCAAAGTAACTTCTGCAACCTTGAAGATGCTTGATGTCAAGCTTCCAATTCTACAAGACCAGCCATCATAAGATATGTCATTTATGAACAAGTGTAAGGTAACAGTCCACCAGAACTACTACAAGACTGTTCACCTTTTAAAATGTATGTTCCTGCACAAAAAAAGGCAACCAAGAAAAGGTAACTGCTAGACATTAATTTTGTGTTAGAAACATCTTTATTCATCTTCTGAAACAGATTAACTCAGAATTCACAAAGATACTTAAAGGAAACAGTAACCTTTGGGCTTGAGAGTGCAAGTAAAGGGAAGCAAGCATGGAGAATTCCAAGCAGAGCTGAGTATTTATTCTTTCCACAGTTTCCGTTATGTACACTATTTGTACTTCCTTCAATCCAAACTAAGGATAGGAGGAAGTCTGCAAAGTGGTTCCTTTAATTAAAAGTCTGTGTTGCACAATTTACTTTTTCATGAAAAAAAGTTTGCAGTTGCATATAGTTCAGCTATATGCACAAGTACAAATACATTTTCACATAGACTCTTCGAAAGGGAACAGAAATGTCATACCTACCTGTCACATTGTTGCATTATAGAGATTTCTTTAATTATTTCTTGAAGATCTGACTCCACAGGGACCTGTTTGATTGCTACAACTTGTCCAGACTCTTTGTGTATTGCTTTAAACACGCTACCATAAGACCTAGAAATAAGAGAGGAAAAATTATTTAAAAACAAGGCGAACTGCTTCTCATTTCCATTATGCACGAAAAGTCACAGAAGCCATATGTTCATGCAGAAGTTTAAAGGTTTTTTCAGGATGCAAAAAGATCAGTTCTGCTGGGACGTCAGGAAAGATGTGCCTCTGAAGAATGCATCTTTGCCAAGATTTAGAGTATCTAATTCCAGTACAGATGCAAGCACCTTTGCTGTGTTAACAAACAACAGACATCAAAAATGCATAAAATATTTGAGGACTGTGGAAATCTCCTGATGCATGCATTTGCTCTATTATTAAAACTTGTCTTTAGAAGTAGTCCTTAGGACATTTACAGTCACTCTCTCTGTAACTTAATATTCCAACATATGCTTTATGTACTGTTTTGCTCCAATCCCACCCCCTTATAAATAGTTGAACTTACCCTTCACCAAGTTTCTCCAGAACATCAAAGACTTCTTCAGGCTGCTTAGTTAAACTGTCTTCACTTAGCTTTTTCAGTTTGCTAAAAGAAAGACAAAAATTATTTATTTGTTTGGAGAAGGAGGACAAAACTCAAGCAAATTTTCACACAAGTGAGCAGACAGAAAAAAAAGATTATCAAGAAAAATATATTTCAATGAAAATAAAATACTTAATTGATGTGTAGCAATAAAATTTTAATCAACCATAATATAAGATGGATAAAGTTATGACAATTTTTGTCATTATTATTTTCCCACTAATGTTTGCTCTATTCAAAGCAGCATGGGATGAGTTCACTGCCCAAACCACTTCCTTTCCTAAAGTAGAAACAGACAAAAAATACAGTAAAGTTCACCTTCCATCAAAAAGCAGCCAGCAAGCAACATGCTCATTACTGCCTAGAGAATGCCATGTTGTTATCTAAGGAAGTATAAAGCAACCCTTCACCCACATGAAGTATTCACTTTTTTAAACTGTACCACTCATAAGCAAGTGAATGACATGGCTAAAAGCAGAACTCTGAGTCAAGATGATTTTGGGAGCACACGGTAGGACTTCCCCTTCACAGGTGGCAGCAGAACACCAAAATTCCAACAGCTGAGCACTGTAATGGCTGTTGGGGCAGCCCCTCTTGCATCTCTGTGAATGCACAGAGGGACAGGTGCAACAAAATCTCTCATTACATAACACCACCATATTTTGCCCTTAGTTCTCTCCACGCAGTCTCAAATCACTCAGCAACACCCAATGATTTCTTCCAGTATCTTCAACCCTCTCTCACCACTATTCATTGTCCTTTACAAGCAGTCCTAGCCTTGCCAGTCTCCAGCATTCCCATCTGTCCAGCCCCCTAGACTTCTGGCAGATCTCAGAACACAACTTGGCTGCAAACTTGCAATGGAGCCAACACACTGAAGGTAGCACAGAAAAATATAACCACAAAATTATATAACCACAAATATAACATTGCAGCAAGGCAGGGTGGTTGCAACATGCAAATCTTTCACCCTAAAAGTTATAGGGAATTTTGGTGCAAGACTGAAATAACAAGTTAACTCTACATGATAGCCAAGGGTACTATTAAAACAGAAGATGAGTTGAAGAATAGCTGGTGCCGTAGTGTTAGATATAGACAATGCATTCCATATGCAGGAGGAGGAAAAGAAAAAAAAACAACTTTGAAACACAGCAGATCATTGAGAACTTATGGAAAATATCATCCCACAACACTTTCCTGGAAATTAATTCAAAATAGAAGAAGGGAGGAGGGCATGGACAGAAAAGACTGACCAATCATAATATGGAAAGAACAGTGATCAAAGAGAAACTCCTTCATATGAGGAGATGCAATTTTTTGATATACAGAATTATTAAAAATTAAAGTGACATGACCAGTGAGGGAATCCCTGAGTCAGAAAAGATTTCTAATTGCCAACCACGTAAGTAAAGACAAAATTTTAAAGTAATTGTAAAAGCACACAGGTCATATGGATTGGTGTTAAACAAGGGAAGCAATGGCAAGGAGGAGGCACAAAGGTGCACACATTTACAAAAAACATCCACAATCAGTAAGGAAAGGTGCATAAGCAAAGACCATGTAGTTTGCTACAGCAAACAGGCAGGAAGCTTGAAAGCATGTCTGTTTAGGGAAAATAAAAATCTTCACAGCAAAGGAAAGGCACAACTCATTAGAAGAAAAAACAGCTGAAAATTCAAATGAGAACAGTTAAATAAAGTCTGCAAAAGTGGCCAAGAAATCAAACACAAGAACATAACTCTGGGTTTTTTTTCAGTCTCTCACTCTGCTGGTTTGACAATAGAAAACAGAAAGATGGAATTTAAATCTTGCAGGGAAGCACATATTTCATTACTGAACAAGTGTCAGTGGAGACAAAGAAAAGAAGAAAAAATATTTTGCAGATAAGTATTAAAGTAACAAGTAATTAACTTTGCCTCTTTGTTTAAAATTTGTTCCTCTCTGAAGAGCCTATATGCAGCTTTAAAGGCAGTATTCAAGAATAAGTTGCTGCAATCATCCTCTGCTTGCCACCAACAAAAAGCACACGCAGTATGTTTATGATACAAGCAGATCCCCAAAAAATAAAAAGCACGACCTTTAGCTGAGTCTCTCGCTTCACTGAAGAGCTGCGTAAGAGAAGATGTGTGCAACAGAACAGTAGAGGGACTGAACTTTTTAGTAACAGCAAGAAAAGGGAAAACATACAGTAACACTGCACAGAGATGCCTACAAAGAGTACACTTCCACCTACTCACCAAAATGAGCTAAAATGAGAAAGAAAAATAAAAAATCCATACCAAAATGTCTTCAACAGCACCATTAATCCCAAGGCATTGGGAGTGCTTGACAAAAGTTATGGAAACAATCACAAACAGCCATAAACTCATCAAAACCTATGTCACTGTCAAATAACAGATTATCTGGAGTAATTAAGAGGCAACCAGGAGAGCAAAGAAGTAGTTTTAAAATTATTTTTGTAATACTCAACTCTGACAAACATTTTATGAAACCAAAATGTGCTTAACACTATAGCAGCTAAATACAAAACCTATTTCCAGGAAGAAATGTATGTCCACCTCAGGAATATCATCACCAAACACACTGCTCAAAGCACCTCACACTCCTTCACAAACACTGTGTCATGTTCAAGTGATAGTATTAACACCGCAGTTCCTTGAGCCATAGAAATATCCTAATGACTCAGAGTGTTTAATGATTTCTGTTTCTAGATGTTTAATAGAATATTCAGCTCTTGAACTACAGAGCAGCACACGATATACCCTGAAGGGTTGCAATAAAGAAAGCGTTTATGAAAACTTCATGAGAAACAAGGAAGAAGGTGGCAACCAGTGTAACTGGCCGCAAAGCACCAAGCAGAATACAAAAAGAAGAGACTAAAAATATGTTGTTGGTTAAAAACAAGCAACTAAAACTAGGGATAGAGAAACACAGCTAAGACTTCAGAATTAGCTTCATAACTGGGGGTATGGGAGGAGTGGTCAGGAGGCAAAATGAAGAGACAAAGGGCTCAAGAACGATCAGAGAGAAAGAAAGAGTGTCTTATTCCTCTCTCCCTCTCCCTCATTCATCCCCTGTTTTCATAACACAAACATTTAAAACAGAACAAATAAATCAGAACATTCAAGCACTGTTTTCTTCTGGTAACAGGACACAAATGCCATATATTTATATACATATATATATATATACACACATGTATATATGAAAAAGTCTAAAGGAGATGCAGAGAAGTTCAGAAGTAGAATGAGCAGAAAGACATTCTTGTTGCATTTTCTCTAGACAATCATTAGGTAGTGAGTATGAGTTATTTTAGAGGTCTTCCAGAAGGAAAGCTGTTCCTGAAATCAGGACAAACTAAACTGCAATTCTGGGACAAGAGCTGTCAAAAATATTTTCTTGTTCCAAGGAAGTTTGACTTTCTCTGTAACAACTAGTCCCTCAACGAGAAAAATACATCCTAGCAAATAATTTTACTTTTATAAGTCCAGTTGATAGGAGTAAACATTAATACTTAGCCTGACCAGAATCTTACGTGTCATTGAGTACATCAGCAAAACTTCACAAAACTAAATGCAGAAAAACCTAGAAATAGTAAGAGGCACCCAATCCCAGTATAAAGATCAGAACTGCCATATAGCAAAAAGATCAGACTACCAATCTCAGCATAAAAATCAGAAAAATCTGAACTGGGACCTGAAAGAGCAAGAGATTTCCCACCCTAACATGAAAAAAATAAAGTATGAGTTTAGTGTCCTACAGTCATTATATATAGATTTCACACAACAAATTGGTGATATGCTACGGAAGTAGGCATTAAAAAAAAACAGAAGGTTCAAAAGAAAAATAAAGCAGGAATAAAGAATAGAACACCATCAATTACTGTCATGAGTTACGGAAAACTGGACAGCTGCTCCATCAAATGTGAATATATGTGGTTTTGCAGAAGAACTAGTACACTGAAACATTTAAAAAGAATGGCAGGGATCAATTATACTGATATATTAAAAGAGAAGGTAGTAAGAGAAATCACTGTAGTCATCAAAAGTAGAGGTGCCATGTGAAAGCCTTGCAACATTGCTTTACACTGTTCACACAAGCAGAAGCAAGATTAACACAGCTTACAGCATTGCATAGTGTACTTACATTTAGTTTTCTACCAATAAAACCCAAACAAATTTACATTTTTGTCCCACCATTTTCAGAAGGAACTTGACAATTGTCAATGTGTCCATTGCCACAAGCATTAAAAACTATGTATTTTTCACACACAGTTTATATTCTAAGAACAAGTTTTTCCTCTTCCCACAAAACCAGAGAAGTTATACTTCAGTGAAAATTAAACTGCCCAAGTTTAAAGTAAGAGCTGGAGAACCTTAATTAACACTCCCCATGCTTGTTAAGCAGCTTTTTATTTGGCAGCAGTGTGCAAGAAATGGACAAGATTAAGAACTATGTATTTGAGAGAATTGTCTCTAACTACTTTGCTTTCGCTTTGTATGCAACCTATCTCCTCATACATGAGTATGCCAACATATACAGAAAAATAAAACAATAATAAGAGAGGAAAGTTACAAGACAAAATTTGTAACTATTTCAAGAGAGAATGTCCTTTTTAGTATAAAAAAGTATAAAACACATCCAAAGTACAGTTAGAAATTCAGATGCAAGGAAACAGTGTCAACTACTGCACAAATTCTCTTCAGCATAAAATCAGAACACCTACTCTAAACTATTATTTAGAGCAAAAAAAAATTATTCTGAAAAGGACTCTTCCTTAGAAGTCTTTTGTTACTGTTGCAGTACACTGGTCAAAGAAGAAAAGCTAGTTGTTTTGACAGCGTCCCCCCTGAAAAGTCACAACGGCCTAGACTGTCACTTGGGCATCATCACTGCTACTTTCTGAAGGGCTGTTTTAAAGATTTACACAATACGCAAGCAGACTTTATCCCCTTATAGGGAAGAGGGGATAAAAGTGCCCTGTACCTCTAAGGAAACACTGAGATTCCAGGACATCCATGCAGCTTTGAAGTGCTGAGATTCTTGCTACCTCTAAATGGATCTCTTGCACCACAGGTATGATGCCAGTAGATCCCTTCAGTAACTGCTCCTGTGGACAAGGGGCATCAAAGTAAAGAATTTTAGTGCTCTCATCTGTTTTCCCAAGTAAACATGATGTGTCCATTTCAAGCCACTCCTGCATCCAAGGACAGCATCAAAAAGTCAGCCCATAAAAAATAATCTGCACTCCTTCTGGACTTGCAGAAGAAGGGGGTGGCCTAGAATAGCTGGGAATGCCAACAATCAGAAAATTGTAAAAAACAAAAGATAAAGGGGATATATTTGCACATTTATGAAAAACTTGGTTCAAATCTTACGCAAATCTCAGTTCTTACGAAAAACTGAGTTCAAATCTTTTCTTCCACTAAAGAAACAAACCCACTGAGTTCTCATCACATTCAAACTTCCAAAAATAAGCTTCAAAAAACATGTGAAGTATAAAAATTTGCCAGAGTTTGGACATTCCCTCATCAGTTTTCTAATTCTTCCTGACTGAATCTAAGGATTTAAAGTTTCTCACTTTCAATTAGGCCAGACACAACACCTTCAGCTAGGCAATAAGTAAATCCCAGATCTTCCCAAAACCATCTTGTAGGTTATGCTAACTTTGCAGTTTGATTTTCAGTCCTTTGAGATCCCAAGTTTTGCACTGGTGCTTGTGACACTGACTATTACTCAGACATTTCTGTTTCTTTTCCTAAACCCTTGCTGGTGCCTGTCCTACTTCCTTTATTTGAGACATACAGGACTGTCAGCCTGAACCTACAGTGTAGGCCTGTCACTCCTCACCCCACGGCCTGCTAAAACCACCCTTACACAGCAACTACAAACCAAATCTTGGCCAAAATTTTCTATAGTAGATACTGCCACTTAATGTACTATTAGAGGAGAAATTATCGGAAGTTCTCCAGTCCTGGCATCCTGCAGGAAGCTGCTTTTAAAGAATCTTAAAGGCTCTAAATGTAGAATGCAAATGTTTTAAAGCAGAACATAAAAATTAATTTATTATCTACTACCACAAATTTATATTCTGTAGTCCCTAGATTTTTCATTACATTATCAGGAAGCTAAAGTAAAATTAGAGCTCTAAAACAGTAAGTATATATGTAAAATGTGTACCTACATTCTGTATACCACACAATTATATCCTGCGTAGTCTACAACTATACCCAAGAAAGGATTGTTCCAATTCAAATATGTGATTACATTTAAATTCAATACGATTAAAGCAAAATTATTTTGTGTACTAAGAAGTCGTATGGTAAATCATCAAAAAAAGAAAACAAAACCACCACGCATAGTAGCTAATATGACCTGATAGCCTACATATTTCAGAAAATACATCTACAGTGAGAATACTCCTGATTTTTGCGTCTTCCCACTCCCTGATTTGCAATTGCAAGTATGCCCTGCCCACTCCCACAAGCATCCATCCCTCCAGCAGCAGGACACAAGGGCGCTTTCCAGCAAGGAAAGAGAAACCACTCGTGCTGGCTCCTGCCATAGACCTGAAGTACCGAGTGCACAGACTCTCAGCCCACGGAGGGCTCTGCCTGGCGACCAAGTCTGCCTCATTTCACGTTAAGAACGTTCCTCTCGTAACTCAACCAGTCCCCGAGGGTTCGCCTTCACCGGGGCATTGACCGGGGCGAGCACTTCGGGACACTCCCGTACCGTAGACCCTCCCCAATGCGACACAACCCCCCGGCCGCCGGGCCGGGCTCAGCACCGTCCCTGTCCTGCCACCCCTTCACAGCCCCCTGCACCGAGGCCTCACCCCGCTCCCTGGCGGGGAAGGGGCCGCCGGGGAGGGTCGTTACCTCTTAGGCGCTGCTTGCTCCATGCCGCCGGCGCTGCCGCCCCTCGGGGCTGCCGGCCGAGCCCCCGGGCCCGTCGGACCCCGCGCAGCTCGGAGCGGACTCACCGCTCTCTCACCCGGGCCCGCGCCCTCCGCCTGCCGCGCTCCCGCCCCGCCACCACCGCCACCTCCGGCCGCGGCGGGGGCCCGCCCCCCGCGCCGCCCATTGGCTACCGCCGCGCCGGCGCCGGCGCTGATAGGGGAGCGTCGACGTCGCTCAGAGCGGCAGCGAGGACGCGACCCCGCCCCCCGGGCGGAGCGGGCGGGGAGAACATGGAGGCGGGGGTGCGCCTGAGCTCCCGGCACACCCCGCGCGGCGGCCCGCAGGGCATGCCGGGAGGTGTAGTCCTCGGGGGCCAGCCGCCCCACCCGCGGGGGGCCCTGCGGGGTTGGGCCGCGCCGAGCGGGAGCCCCGCGGCGCTGTCCCGCCCACGCACCGCATCCCCTGGACTGGGAGCTGCGCCTCCGGGAAGGGCAGCCTGGGGCAGCGCCGCCGCCTGAGGGCGGCTCTTCCCCCGCGGACACCCGCGTGGCCTCGGGGCAACGCTGCCGGGCGGCCGCGCCTCTCACCCGCCCGTGGGCGCGGGGCGAGCACCTGCGCCAGCCCCTCCGCTGTAAGGTGATTTCTTCGTGAGCAGCTGGCTCCAGAGCTTGCGAAGGGGAAGCCTGAAGTGACGGCAGGACGGGGGAGCAGCCCCCGCTCGCGTGGCACGGGAGAGGTCCGAGGTGACAAGTGCTGCCGCTTCGCGCTTGAGCGTGTGGTGCCAAAGCACACGAGTTACCCTGCAAGGCCAGGGGAAGCTGTCACGTCGTTATTCAAGAAGCACATTTTAGGCCACAGAGCACCCTGTGACAGTTACCTTCAATTTCACCGCCTTACAACTTCTTTCTGCTGCTCGTGTACTTGGATTTGTTGGATCCAAGTAGATCCAGCCAATACAAGAAAAGCGTAAATGTTCAAGCCATTTTCTGTATCCTTTCCTGACAGAAGGTTTATTTGCCTAACTAATGGAAGTTTGAGGTGGTAAAACACTTAGGCAAGTTCCATAAAAATACCGAGATGCCCAATTTCCACTTCAAACTGATTTTAGATGTACAAGTATTACAACACTTACCCCTAAAAAAAATGTGCACTCCGTACCTAATTTCATCTCTTTGATGTGTACTAGCAAGGGAATTTTGAATGACTGAGATCCTACTGTTGTGCAAGTCTTCTACTTTGTCTGAGTCAATCCAACCCAGTTGACTCACTGTGGTGGGGCCAAATGCACAATAGCAATATTGAATGAACCCATAAAACAAATCACACACCACCCTATGACCTTTTAGGTTTCTTTGTTTTTCTGAGTCATGGAAAAACTGCAATAGAACATCGTCTTTTGCACAACAAATTAATGCAGAGCTCTCCCAAGTATCATCCCACAAGCCAGAGTGGCTCACCAGCAGTACTGCCAGATGTGTCCGTACCGTAGACAACAGTTTGTAGGATGTGCCAAAAAAAACCACCCAGGAGAAGAAGCCAGCAGATGCTTCAGATGCAGTATGGTACAATTGCCTTAGAAGGTGGTGGGGAGGAACCACAAGACTTCCCATCTCCCAGTTCTAGGACAGGTGAGGTCAAGCTGATAGCAAATACCATGTTGCTAGTGTGCAGCTTGTTTTTACAAGATATTTGGCTATACCCACTGACCAGTTATTATTTACAGTTCACCAATTTCACCTAGTGAAACAGGTCTGACATTCCTTTTTGGCTATAATACTCTTGGAATGTCTCCACATCCTTTAACACAAATGTTTAAGGCAATATTTTATCCGGGTTATTTCAGGGAAGGCAGGTTTTGCTTCCCCCTCTCAAGCCAAATCTGCCACAAACTATACATTAAACCAGGGAAAAGGATGCTTAGAAAAAAATACAAGTAAAATATTATAGTTGTAACAGCAATACAAAGAAAGGGAGCCAAGAAGTGCTCCGTTCACACTTCTTTCGCTGCAAAAATTTAGGCTAAACAGTCTAAATTTAGGCTAAACAGTCTAATCTGCCACTCTTACCTCCCCCTTAAACAACAGTTGACAAGAACAAGTCTAAAGGAAATCTGTCCCAGAACAGCAGATTTAGATATTCTCTCTGTTCATTCAAAACTATCGAATACCACAATCCTCATTTCCAAAAAAAACCCTGACTACTTGGTAACTGAGTAAAAGGGTGGCAGGAGTGTCCTCCATCTATGCCATTGAAGAAAAGCATGTAAAAAACCCAAGATGTCTGAAGCAGAAAAAGTTAAGTAACCTGGCTTTATAACCTGGTGAGGCAGACAGTGCCAAAAAAGTATGGACTAATTCCATGCCTTTTTAATAGAAATTTCAGTTGTGTCTTAAGCAGCTGCCAGAATCCTTTCTAAGTACATTTAGGCTGAAAATAAAATATCAATAAGATAACATATATACCACAGTGTTTTGCAAGATCACTTTATTCATCTCTTATAATTTCGAATGGTATTTTTAGTCAATGACATTGGAATAAATAACACCATCTCACCTTTCCCCTGTGACATGAATTTGGGAACTATGCTGTGAAATATGACACTGATTTGGTATTCATTACAATACTGTACCTAGCCACTGGCAAAGAAGGAACTTTGAAAGGGAGAACAGACTCCCTCTGTTCTACTACCTCATTCAGGCTTCCCAGTCAAGGGAAGTCTAGATGTTCTGGAGGCATGAATATACTATGAGATTGCTGGTGTCTAGACAAGATGGAGATGAGGAAGCTGCAGACAATCTACATGAGTATACCCATGATTTCTTCCAACAGTGGAACTATCTAACACTACTAGGAAGGCAGCTGAGTAAGAAAAGGCTTAATGTAGCCCAATCTTAAAAATATAGGAGAAAACTAACTGAATTTCTCTCTTTCTTCTAAAGTATTTCATCCACTTCACAAATTTATCAGCATTAATTAGGACTCCCTTCTCTGCAGAACTGGCATCAACATCAAATATAATTCCTTAGACTAAAGGATGGATGAAGACCATACTTAGGTTTTGAGTACTGTAATTATTTTATATTATAATGTAGTTTTGTAAACAGATAAAATAATTTATATTATAATTACTTATACTGCAATGAAATCAGGAATCATGATGTCATGGACAAATATTAGGTGCTGTATAACTAAGAAAGTCCCCGAACACCTACATATATGAACAAAAAGGTTCCAAGATGTCAATCCTGCCTCACTTGCATGTAGTGCATAATAAACCCAAGAAGTATAAAAATTTCTTGAGAAGCTCATGTCTGAGTTTCTGACAGGTATTACTAATGTTAGGATTTAAATTACAAATATATACTTCAAAGTCATTCATAAACGTCTTGCAAATAGATTACGTACATTATAGTAGGGACCTTATCTTGTTCCTCTGGTAGCAAATGAAAGCAGCATTTACTTCAGAAGGTATTCAATCAGGCTCATTTAAACAAAGTGCATCGTAATGAGTACATGACGCAACTAGAAAACAGCAGAATTAATAAACAGTACATGTTTTCCAAGAAATAAATGTCATGAACACATTGTGCTCCCCAAACAAAATACCCCTAATCCTTCATCACATCTATGGTGCTTTTCACATCCCAGCTCTTTTCCCCATATGCTTTCTAGCCTTTCACCGTGGTACCCTGCTAGTTCTTTCACAGGGTGCTCAGTGCTCTCTCCTTTAACACCCCTGTATCATTCCCCACCGAGTTACACGGATGCTGTGTCTGCATCACACCTGCCTGTTAGCTCGCAGGAGGAGGGGTTTGGCTGGCAGGAGAAGGGGTTTGGCTTGCAAAAGGATGCAGGCCAGTCCACAGCCTGGTCCCAAACCCAGCACCTAAGGACAGAGTTTCCCTTACTCTTCCCTTGCCATAGGGTGGACAGCCCCACAAACAGGCCATTCCCTCCTCTACCCATGAGTCTTGTAAAATAGGAACTTACTATAATGACAGACCTCCAGCTGTTCATCAAACATGGTTAATATTAGTTTATAAGTCACAAATGGTTGTGAAGGGGAGAAAGGCAGGGAATAGCAAGCAAGCACAAAGATGGAGTGAATGCAGGAGCCTGCTTTCCTTGGAATCCAATTCATAAATTCAGTAGACAAATAGTCAACAACAACATGTTTGCATGTCTCTCCCTGTGACTGCCTGATAGTGATCTGGTATGCTGGAAGTTAAGGAAAAGGCCTTGAATAAAATACTGGCTTGTTTATACAGAAGATAAGAAAAAATTACTTCTGTTTGTATTTTTTTCCTACCTATCATGCTTATGTGAAGCAACCTTGAAGGCTTATCTAAGAATTTGCTATATACTTTCCTAACCCTGTCAGTCATAAAATAGTTATAAATAAAATATAAAAGAACAGCATATTCTCAAACTTGGAATAAAATTTATATTTTTATAGCGAGTTTTAAATCAAGTTTAGGAATAAAGAACAATTGGGAGTGGCTTCTTTTCCTGAAGTATTCATAATTTAATGGTTAATTAATGTCACCTAAAAGGAAATTGACTTTTTGCTGGTCCAACAAAAGAAAGATGCAGAAAATAAATAGTCAGGCAATATAGGTACAGATTCTGCCATCTGTATTCACTCTGTTGAAATCAGCATGATTCACAAAATTCCTAGCTGACATTAAAAAGAGGTGTAAAACCCATAAAATATTAACTGCACTGCTACAATTTCTCTCACTACGTAGTATGCATTATTTTGATATCCAAAATATTATCACTAGACCTAAAGATATTTGTTGATTGGGATAGGATTTTTCTGTTGACTAACCATTTAGCTCACAGTCTTGGTAACAGGCTATATATAGACTTACCATTTGCTATTTTTCCTATTATAGCACACTATGGTAAAAATAAACCATGGATACAGAGTTGCTATTTACAATTGACCACAGGAGATATTCCAGTCTGTACTACAGCTGCATTGATTGTGCTCGTGGGATCTACGGATTGCCATTACATGAAAAAAAAAATCTCATTTTGCTTTGTAAAACAATTACTGCTGTTGTGGTAATACTGAGGGTTACTCTGGATTCCCTTCTGCACAA